ACGCATTCTCACTCCCAACTCGTCACATATGGACGCTGGTCAGGACTCGTCGGCGCCGCTTTTTAACACCCTGGATATACTACATGCAGGCTTCTGGTTAGACTTTCAAAATAAAACTAGTGGTTAACGTTGTGAAACGTTGCAGTTTGGTTAGGTTTAGGAAAAGTTCCTGCTCTGGGTTAAAATACCTACGTGACTTAAGTTACGTCATCAGTGTTGACTTGATGTTTCGCGCAGGAAACGTCTCCTGGGTGAAAGTCCGGTTTCTGACCCACCACCTCCTAACTCTGAATTCTCTGGTATTTATATACTACACCTTTTAAAGGTAAACAAAGACGCTAAAGAGCTTCCCCCATCGCGTTACCACCTTGGCAGCGGTGTAAGGTGGTAACAACGGGCCCCAGTACAGGCTGTTGTGATGGGCCCTTGGGCTCCACAGTTACGAAGCACGTGCGCACTGCGTTCACGTCTATAAGGGAACCTTATTGGCAAACTTATGTGCCTTGTTTCCTCGTTGTGCCACAGTTTAACAACTGATAAGATTAGATGCAGTAAATATCTAATTAAAAAAGCTCCTTAAATCGACTTATTTCCATATTAACATATTAAATTCATCAGTTCTGCTGCAGCAGCTGTGTTGCTGCGCCTGGACGCAGCAGTCTAAAGCAAAGCACCATCATGTGATGGATTTTACAGTCGGACTGTGTCGCCTAGACTTTTGTATTTGCAAAGTATAGAAGTCAAAGAGAAAGTTATGAGGAGCGTGGCCGGTGCCGTCACTGTCACAGTCCTGAAACGTCACCACAAACGTCCACTGAGCTGAAATGTCGCAGACGTTTTTGGCATTTTCAGTACAACAACCTCCCGAATCACGACAACCACATTCCTCTTCGACAGAGAGGCGAGACATCATGGTGAGTAAGAAAGAAAAGCAGCCTATTCATGACACCATGTCCTGAAAACAGGCCAGCTACGGCACACACACAGTTTAATACCCACACGCACATCCACAGAATTAAACAGGACGGCCTACTCAGCGGCGAGCTGACCCCAAAATGATATCAGCCTTTAAAACAGCGGAGCGGCAGCTGCATCACGTCCACTGCAAAAGCACGTGTAAAGTTACTCGCCTATTTGAAAGGCGTCCGACGAGCGAAATCTTTGACGGTGTCCTCAGTAATCCAAAACAATGTTATGTGGGAGCTGTGCGGCCCTCTGCTCCTCTTCTTCTCTCTTCTTGAAACTACTTTTATGTGTGAATAGCAGGACTGCAAGCTTGCTCAGGTGCTCTGCTGGTCTACTGGTCAGATTTTGCGTTTCACCCTGCAATCATAACTGCATGTGACACGAATATCAAAGAAAATAAGACGAAATTCATTCTGTTGAATAAATTTTTTATATTTCACTGTTTACCTAATAGCCAACTGCTTGCTACAGACGTCTGTGTGGTCAGACACCACGGCAAAGGGGGAAATGCCCATATGTATGTATATATACTACATGATCTTTATTGACAGAACAGTTACATGTGTACTGGGTGTTAACTGTTGAAGTCCAGCTCGTAACTCGCCGAGCCGCTCCCATCACGGGCCACAGTGCAGCTGCGGTAGGAACAGGTTGCTGAGGTGAGGAGCCTGCAGAGCCCACAGGATACTAAAGGACAGCACCCAGAAACAGCCTGTTCACCCTGCTGCCGTCCGCCGAGAGGTGCAGAAATATCTGCTGTCACAACTCCAGACTTCAGAGTAGCTGCTTCCCTCAGATTCATCCTCAGCGACTGTGCAACCCTGTGCTGCATGATGATCAATAAGTGAACCTTGAATGTGTTTAAATAAAACTGTCAAACTTTCCCTGTCAAACACTCTGATCAGAGACGTGAGGAGAGAGGACGCTTCGTAATGAAAGATATTATTCTTTGATTGAAGTTCGCAGTGGAATGAAAACCTTTATTTAACTGTTCTGTGTTACATAAACATCCTCCTGCAGATTCTGAATGTTCGCTTCAGTTCTTAAGAGGCTGCTGAAGTTATAACACAGAAGAAAATAACCACAGCGGGTGGTAATAACGAGCTCGGGGTTTGACTCCCACTGCGGACAAAGGTTTGTGTTTTATTTCACAAATAATAAAAGTAAATCAATAAAACATAAAGAGATTATTAATGAAATGAGTTACACAGGGCTCTAGTCTTCACAGCTTTGGAGTTCCAGGTTATATTAGATAAGACAGGTCTCAGGTTTCCTGACTCTCTGGAATGAGTTTATAATAACTTGTGTTTTTGTGCTTAAAGGGATCTAAATTCTCAAAACGTCGGCTCTTGCGGTGCTGCTTAAAGGAAATATTCTATATCTGTGGTTGCAAATTATAGTACGGCAGTATTTTAACACCTGACTGAAAAGTGTCAAGGACTGTTGCATATTTTCCAGGGTTTCCAGGAACGTTGGATTCTTCTAACAGTTAATTGTTAACATGTGAGTAAAGGATCTGAAATCCTTCTTCCACCTGTGACGCTGCCATGTTGGCAGAACGTCCACCACAGGAAACCCCATCGTTAACAAATATGGTGAGTGTATTTATTTTTCCAGTCGTAACTGAAGTGCCGCTCTGCTCCATGTTTTACAGCTGGAAGTCAGAGTTTCCTGCTTTCTTACATTTCTGGAACGCAGCTTCACATATTTAATGTGTGAGCGTTTGTTGGCAGGAGGAGGTAATGGAGGAGCGCTGAGAACAGTGGTGGCATGTCCACTCTGTCTGGTCTGCAGCCAGGAACTGCCAGCTCAATCTCTCTCTGGGTTTCCCATTAAGATCGCCCACCGAGAAAGCTCAGAATAACCTTCAGCTGCTGACAGACTGAGCGCGCTCAGACGCTGAGACACGCCTCCTCGTTCACTGCCTCAATCAAGTCGAGGTTATTATCTCATCACTCGAAAATACGAGTCATTACCCGTCAGAGGAGGGAAACGAGGACTTAAGTCGGAGAGGAAAGAAAAACATTCAACAGATTCACCTTCGTATGGAAGATCATTTCTGCCGGAAGGTTGTGCATGATAAAAAACAAGCAGGAAAATTAACAGCCTTCTTCCTGTTGGACTCGTCAGTAATAACTTACTAGCTGCTCGCTCTGTCTTGATGTTTGGCTGTTAGCAAAGTTAATCAGCCAGACGTTTAGCTGCTAGCTATAAATGTGGAATTAATGTAAGCAAACTTACTAGCTAACACACTCGGACACGGGTAACGTTACTGTAAGTGCAACATAACCGGGCTCAGCTGCCTCTATGGATGTAACGTTAGCTAACGGCAGGGGAGAAGAGATCGAAGAGGACACTGACAGAAGAAGCTGAGAAAAAGAGAGGGAGACCGAGCGAGAGGCTGCCGGATGTTGGCAAGAACGACAGCAGGACAGACGGCGAGCTTGTTTCTTTCTGTTGCACTAGACAGTAATGTTGCTGTGTCTTGTGTTGTTGTAGCTGCTTGACCTTTGGCTGTTAGCAATGTTGGCGACATCATAAGTAATCGTAACAAATGCTCGTGTGCAGCTGTCTTTATTTACGACATCACACAAAAACCACATCTTACATAATGTTTCTTTAAAAAATTTAAATCTGACTTTCATAATGTAAATAAATAGCACATATTTGTTGTTAATATTTAATGGTTGTTGTTCTATATTTTTATATTTTGTCAATTTATATATGTATGTACAGAATACTCTCTCCCGTTGCAACACGTCTGCACAACACAAACCGGAATAATGCACATGTAAATATCTGCCACGTTGTTCTTTCTCTGCAAATAGTTGTATTATTTTTCTCTATTATTTTATTGTTCTTATATAACTTGCATTTGTTTATTCCATACGTGTAGCACCTTATCACCAAAACTACTTGGCAATAAAGCTCCTTTTGATTCAGATTCTGGTAACTCAGTGTCATCACTGCCTGTTCTGACCAGGAAACATTACAATTATGATGGATTTTATTTATTAATGATTCATTTTATTCTTTTCTTGGCACAAACGGGTTTCCATACTTGCCTAAAATTGTGGTAATTTCTCCCTAATCCTGTTGTAATAACAGGAAACAGAGCGCGTGGGCGGTCTGTGGGTGGCTGGGTGGGATTATCGTCGCGTGGACGCCCCAAACGGAGAGGAAACGGAGTGAGTGCCAGCTCGGAGCTCCTTCCTCCTCCTCCCCCTCCACCCTGAGCAGAGTACAGAGGGAACTCTCTCATGATTTACAGCCCGAGCACCAGAGTTCACCGTGGACTCAAGCCAGCGACAAGCCCCCTTTTAACACCAGCTTTGTATTCTAATGACCCCCTAAACTGCACACCAATCCATTTTCTGTCCATTAGCTGCCGCGGCCGCTACCGCCGCTGCAGCTAATATTCTTTAATTCACTCCACAAAGGGGGAGATTGTCCGGGGCCTCGCTGCACTTAATGCCTGCAATTACATCAGGTTACACATCCTGAAGTGAACCCCGGGGACCCGAGAGAGAACCCCCCCTCCTCCAACACCGCCCTCCTAATCTACTCTTAACCCACCCAAACACCTGATGGCTCTGATGCCCCTCAGACAGTCCGACTCTACGTGTCCGACTAGCGGCGCTCGCCACTTGAGTCCATTAAGAAATAAAACTTGCTGGAATGTGACCGGACGAAAAATAACCTGCAGTCAATTAGAGCCGGCACAATACGGGTTTTGTCCCGAGGACGGAGGAAAGAAAAGGGCTCAGAGCGTCGTCGTTTTATGGCAGTTATTTATTGCCTTATAACCCAGAAATCAAATTAGTTCATATTGAGGAGGTTGAGCCTGCGGTGATTGATTTCCCTTCGCAGGGTCCAGTTGATACGAGCGAGTCCAGGCCAAAGAAAACAGGCCGGAGTAAAGTCCTGGAGAAGGCCCGGCGACCAGGAGGAGCAGGGGGAGGAGAAATATACAGCATCAGAAAATTGATATACTCAAGTAAAGTTCAAGTAACGTGGTGCTTTAGTAAATGTACTTAGTTACTTTCCACCCGAGAGGGGCTGGAGGAGGAGGAGGAGGAGGAGGTGGGGGTGTAGTACTGGATGGAGGAGGAGGAGGAGGAGTGGGTATAGTACTGGATGGAGGAGGAGGAGGAGGAGGAGTGGGTGTAGTACTGGATGGAGGAGAAGGAGGAGGTGTGGGTGTAGTACTGGATGGAGGAGGAAGAGGAGGAGGTGTGGGTATAGTACTGGATGGAGGAGGAAGAGGAGGAGGTGGGGGTGTAGTGCTGGATGGAGGAGAAAGAGGAGGAGTGGGTATAGTACTGGATGGAAGAGAAGGAGGAGGAGTGGGTGTAGTACTGGATGGAGGAGGAGGAGGAGGAGGAGGAGTGGGTATAGTACTGGATGGAGGAGGAAGAGGAGGAGGAGTGGGTGTAGTACTGGATGGAGGAGAAGGAGGAGGTGTGGGTGTAGTACTGGATGGAGGAGGAAGAGGAGGAGGTGTGGGTATAGTACTGGATGGAGGAGGAAGAGGAGGAGGTGGGGGTGTAGTGCTGGATGGAGGAGAAAGAGGAGGAGTGGGTATAGTACTGGATGGAAGAGAAGGAGGAGGAGTGGGTGTAGTACTGGATGGAGGAGGAAGAGGAGGAGGTGTGGGTATAGTACTGGATGGAGGAGGAAGAGGAGGAGGTGGGGGTGTAGTACTGGATGGAGGAGGAAGAGGAGGAGTGGGTGTAGTACTGGATTAAGGAGAAAGAGGAGGAGTGGGTATAGTACTGGATGGAGGAGAAAGAGGAGGAGTGGGTATAGTACTGGATGGAGGAGAAAGAGGAGGTGTGGGTGTAGTGCTGGATGGAGGAGGAAGAGGAGGAGTGGGTGTAGTACTGGATGGAGGAGAAAGAGGAGGAGTGGGTATAGTACTGGATGGAAGAGAAGGAGGAGGAGTGGGTATAGTACTGGATGGAAGAGAAGGAGGAGGAGTGGGTGTAGTGCTGGATGGAGGAGAAAGAGGAGGAGTGGGTATAGTACTGGATGGAGGAGAAGGAGGAGGAGTGGGTGTAGTACTGGATGGAGGAGGAGGTGGGGAGGAGGTGTCTGGGTCCGTCCTGTCCTCTGTTCATTACAGGTGATAAGTGCCCTCCCAGGATCCTGCATCTGGAGCTGTGAGTTGAGATCCAGCAGAGGCCTTTGGTCCGGAGCCTTTATGGGGACGTGCATAGACACCCTCATCCCTCAGCGCTCTCTGGAGACCCGGGGCTGCTTGCAGGAATGGGCCCCCTGCCGCCAGTTTCAGCGCCGCGGCCCCGAGAACAAGCCAGCACCGTGCCAATTAGACAGAGAGAATAAAAGGGACTGCACAGAAATGTAATCCATAAATAACACTCATGTCAGCTGTCGTGTTTTTACTCCCCAGAATTTTTATTTCCCAATTTTTAGACGTCTGCTGGGTTTAAATTGGTCCGAGAGAAGCTTTTGTTGGGTCGCAGCAGAACTCAGCATTGTTCTGCTGCAAATCACAGCCTCACACAGTCTGACTGACCCTCATAGCAGCTGCTGCTGCTAATGTTTGATGCTAATATACTAATGTCTGATGCTAATGTCTGATGCTAATGTTTGATGCTAATATACTAATGTCTGATGCTAATGTCTGATGCTAATGTCTGATGCTAATATACTAATGTCTGATGCTAATGTCTGATGCTAATATACTAATATCTGATGCTAATGTTTGATGCTAATATACTAATGTCTGATGCTAATGTTTGATGCTAATATACTAATGTCTGATGCTAATGTTTGATGCTAATATACTAATGTCTGATGCTAATATACTAATATCTGATGCTAATGTCTAATGCTACCGTCTAATGCTAATGTTTGATGCTAATATACTAATGTCTGATGCTAATGTTTGATGCTAATATACTAATGTCTGATGCTAATGTCTGATGCTAATATACTAATGTCTGATGCTAATATACTAATATCTGATGCTAATGTTTGATGCTAATGTCTGATGCTAATATACTAATGTCTGATGCTAATGTCTGATGCTAATGTCTGATGATAATATACTAATATCTGATGCTAATGTCTAATGCTACCGTCTAATGCTAATGTTTGATGCTAATATACTAATGTCTGATGCTAATGTTTGATGCTAATATACTAATGTCTGATGCTAATATACTAATATCTGATGCTAATGTCTAATGCTACCGTCTAATGCTAATGTTTGATGCTAATATACTAATGTCTGATGCTAATGTTTGATGCTGATATACTAATATCTGATGCTAATGTCTGAAGCTAATATACTAATGTCTGATGCTAATATACTAATATCTGATGCTAATGTTTGATGCTAATGTCTGATGCTAATATACTAATGTCTGATGCTAATGTCTGATGCTAGTATACTAATATCTGATGCTAATGTTTGATGCTAATATACTAATGTCTGATGCTAATGTCTGATGCTAATGTCTGATGCTAATATACTAATGTCTGATGCTAATGTCTGATGCTAATATACTAATATCTGATGCTAATGTTTGATGCTAATATACTAATGTCTGATGCTAATGTTTGATGCTAATATACTAATGTCTGATGCTAATGTCTGATGCTAATGTCTGATGATAATATACTAATATCTGATGCTAATGTCTAATGCTACCGTCTAATGCTAATGTTTGATGCTAATATACTAATGTCTGATGCTAATGTTTGATGCTAATATACTAATGTCTGATGCTAATATACTAATATCTGATGCTAATGTCTAATGCTACCGTCTAATGCTAATGTTTGATGCTAATATACTAATGTCTGATGCTAATGTTTGATGCTAATATACTAATGTCTGATGCTAATGTTTGATGCTAATATACTAATGTCTGATGCTAATGTCTGATGCTAATATACTAATGTCTGATGCTAATATCTGATGCTAATGTCTGATGCTAATATACTAATGTCTGATGCTAATGTTTGATGCTAATATACTAATGTCTGATGCTAATATACTAATGTCTGATGCTAATGTCTGATTCTAATATACTAATGTCTGATGCTAATATACTAATGTCTGATGCTAATGTCTGATGCTAATATACTAATGTCTGATGCTAATGTTTGATGCTAATATACTAATGTCTGATGCTAATATACTAATGTCTGATGCTAATGTCTGATTCTAATATACTAATGTCTGATGCTAATGTTTGATGCTAATATACTAATGTCTGATGCTAATGTCTGATGCTAATATACTAATGTCTGATGCTAATATACTAATATCTGATGCTAATGTTTGATGCTAATGTCTGATGCTAATATACTAATGTCTGATGCTAATGTCTGATGCTAGTATACTAATATCTGATGCTACTGTTTGATGCTAATATACTAATGTCTGATACTAATGTCTGATGCTAATATACTAATATCTGATGCTAATGTTTGATGCTAATGTCTGATGCTAATATACTAATGTCTGATGCTAATGTCTGATGCTAGTATACTAATATCTGATGCTAATGTTTGATGCTAATATACTAATGTCTGATGCTAATGTCTGATTCTAATATACTAATGTCTGATGCCAATGTTTGATGCTAATATACTAATATCGGATGCTAATGTTTGATATCTGATGCTAATATACTAATGTCTGATGCTAATGTTTGATGCTAATATACTAATATCTGATGCTAATATACTAATGTCTGATGCTAATGTTTGATGCTAATATACTAATATCTGATGCTAATGTCTGAAGCTAATATACTAATGTCTGATGCTAATATACTAATATCTGATGATAATGTCTGATGCTAATATACTAAAATCTGATGCTAATTATACTAATATCTGATGCTAACATCCGATGCTAATATACTAATATCTGATGCTTACATCTGATGCTAATATACTAATGTCTGATGCTAATATACTATCGGATGCTAATGTTTGATATCTGATGCTAATATACTAATGTCTGATGCTAATGTTTGATGCTAATATACTAATATCTGATGCTAATATACTAATGTCTGATGCTAATGTTTGATGCTAATATACTAATATCTGATGCTAATGTCTGAAGCTAATATACTAAAATCTGATGCTAATTATACTAATATCTGATGCTAACATTCGATGCTAATATACTAATATCTGATGCTTACATCTGATGCTAATATACTAATGTCTGATGCTAATATACTAATATCGGATGCTAATGTTTGATATCTGATGCTAATATACTAATGTCTGATGCTAATGTTTGATGCTAATATACTAATATCTGATGCTAATATACTAATGTCTGATGCTAATGTTTGATGCTAATATACTAATATCTGATGCTAATGTCTGAAGCTAATATACTAATGTCTGATGCTAATATACTAATATCTGATGCTAATGTCTGATGCTAATATACTAAAATCTGATGCTAATTATACTAATATCTGATGCTAACATCCGATGCTAATATACTAATATCTGATGCTTACATCTGATGCTAATATACTAATGTCTGATGCTAATATACTAATATCTGATGCTAATTATACTAACATCTGATGCTAATTATACTAACATCTGATGCTAATATCTAATGCTAATATACTAATATCTGATGCTAATATACTAACATCTGATGCTAATTATACTAACAGCTGATGCTAATTATACTAATATCTGATGCTAATTATACTAATATCTGATGCCAATATCTATATTCTATTTAATAAGTGGCTTTATCTGGGTTATATAAGACCAGATATGGTCGTCCAAATATGGTCACATCTGGTTCCAAAAAACCAAGATGGCGACGGCCAAAATGAACAGAACAGTAGTCCACAAACGAACGGGGGACGTCACGGCGGCTGCGTCCACTTCTTTTACACACTGTGAACACAGCCGAGCATAAAATGGTTAACGACTTACTAATGACGAGGAACCTGTAAAAAAAGATCACCCACGATTAATTTCTGATTGATACACAAATCACAAAGAGTGTTTGGGGGGGTCTGAGGGATCCATCAGGGCCCCAGCAGGTTAGTCCGGCCCTGATCCAAACACACACACCTGTTAAACATCAGATGTTCCTGCATTGAAACTATAATTAGAAGGACAGAAGAAGAAGAGCCGTAATGACACATGATTACTGATAAACATGAAATAGTTGGAGCCAGCCGGCCTCCTCGTCCGCCGTCCAACACCTCCACCAACATCCTGCAGACCCCCCCCCACCCCCACAGACAGATGTTAGAAACATTACGAAACACGGCCAACAATAAAAAAGAGCCGGAGTAAGTTTTCCAACAGTGCAAACAAAAGAATGTTTTAATGGTGCTGCTTTAAGAGGAAAAATGTTGGACTGCTGGAGAAATTCAATTACAGTGTGATTGAGTGTTGACATTTCTGAGGCCGTAAGACAGGAAATTCATTAAAAGCAGCAGAGCAGCCTGGGAGGGAAACTCCAGCGGCTGTAAAAGAATCCGCCGGTCCGAGGTGATTATAGAACGGATCGTTGCTCGGGTCAGCACCGCCGCTCCCCGCTCAGCCAATCCTGGATATGCAGAGGCTCCAGAACCACCGCGCTCCGCTGTATTGATTGAAAATAATCCACCTGGGACTCAGACTCACATCTGCACTCAGGGAGGAGGTGGTGGAGGGGGTGGGAGTGTTTCAGGAATAATGTGAGGCATTGATTCTGACACGCATGCTATTGTAATAAGCTAATCTGGGAAAGAAACAGTCATGAAATGCAGCAGAACAAGACGGCCATTTGTAAGCAATTTATGACGGCGGCTAATCATTACGGCGAGGTTAGGTCAACTGCTACGGGACGGCGAGAACCAGCCGCGTGGCTTTTTCTTCCTGCTGCACTGAATCAGGTTGCAGTTTTTTCTTCCCACAAACAGGATCTTTGACATTTTCTGGGTTTATCAGGAGAGAATTTGTTCTTCTGTTTCCAGGACATGATTTGTTTAAAGAACGCGTCAGATGAACGCGGGAGGAGCGTTTGTGATGAAACCAAGCAGGAAACTCCGCTGAAGAGGCTTAAAGCTGCATCCTCTCTAGCAGCCAGCAGGGTGACGACTTA